GTCCCTCTGGGTAGAGTACCGTGGCATTACAGCTCACAGCAACCTCCAACTCCTGGGCTCAAGCGAGTCTCCTGTCTCCGCCTCCCAAGTAGCTGGGACCACAGGCGCCCACCACAATGCCCGGCTATTTTTTGGTTGCAGCCGTCATTGTTGTTGGGCAGGCCCGGGCTGGGGATTCGAACCCGCCACCTTAGGTGTCCGTGGCTGGCACCTTAGCTGGTTGAGCTATAGGCGCTGAGCCAGAAGGCTGTATCTTGATGTATGAAAGGAGGGGCTTAAATATCAGAGGTGAAGTGGGTAGCAGTCAGGGTTATGGTAGGGCTACATAGGGAGCCAGAGGTGACGGGAGAAGCACCTAGATGTGGCTGGGAAGGGGGTGCTGTGGGCATTGGGCAAGCAGCTCATGGGTCTGGATGGGGTGGTTGCCCAAGTCAGGGAGATGACATTTGACCTGAGCTTTGTGAGGTGAGAATTTGCTTAGTTGAGCAACTGCTGGGCTGGATCCAAGACCAGGGTGGTTGGGTGAGACCCAAAAACCCAACCCTACCCCATCCCTGCCACTCCTTTGAGACCCTTGTTGCATTTTATTTAGGCAGAATGATTGGCAAGTACAAAGGTCCTGAGGCAGGGAAGGATGTGGTGGTAATAAAAAAAATGGAAGAAGGTCAGGAGGGCCTGGAAAGGTGGAATGAGGTCAGGTCAGAGCCTTCAGGCAGGAGTTGTGCTGTGTCTCTAGGTCTTTCTCCTGGGGGCACTGGGAGCCACAGAAGGCTCCAGAGCAGGGCAGTTGACAGTGATGTGATCTAGTTTACAGTTTTTGCTCTGAGTGAATGGAAAAGAAACTTGAAGTTGAGGCAAAGAACTGAGTGAAAAGGCTTGAAGCTTCTATCACCAGGCAATGGGTACAGGCTGTCTCTGATGCCTACCCCACTCCCCATAGGCCCTGTGCACGAAGGTCCCTGAGCTGATCAGAACTATCATGGGCTGGACATTGGACTTCCTCCGAGAGCGACTGCTGGGCTGGATCCAAGACCAGGGTGGTTGGGTGAGACCCAAAAACCCAACCCCACCCCATCCCTGTCACTCCTCTGGGACCCTGGGCTTCCTGCATCACACCGGTGCCCCCCCCACCCCATTTTCAGATGATCAGGTGTAGTCTGTTTCCTCATCTGATCAACCAGATTCATGTGATACCTGATGACCTCTAACCTTCCTGTGATCCCTGACTTGATTAGTACATCTATACTCCCTGGGTGCCTCCACTTTCTCTGGAGTCCCTCAAGTTTATTGATAACCTTATTTATCCCAACTCTTTACTACCAGTTAATCTTGGGCCCTTGCCCTGACTCCTGCCTCCCTGATCTCTCAAGTGTGGACCCAGGGGCTGCCCCTGGCCAAATTCCTGAAGTGACTAATGTCCCTGTCCCTAGGACGGCCTCCTTTCCTACTTTGGAACCCCTACGTGGCAGACAGTGACCATCTTTGTGGCTGGAGTGCTTACTGCCTCGCTCACCATCTGGAAGAAGATGGGCTGAGGCCCACCCCACTACCTTGGACTGTGTTTTTTCTGCATAAATTATGGCATTTTTCTGGGAGGGGTGGGGATTGGGGGACATGGGCATTTTTCTTACTTTTGTAATTATTGGGGTTGGGTGGGGAAAAGTGGTCTTGAGAGGGGGGTAATAAACCTCCTTCTGGCCACACTTCAGTGTCTTCAGTCACTGAGCCGCCCCGAACTTGGCCTGGCTTCCTCACCCACACCAGGTCGTTGTCTGCTTGCCTGGACGTGGCTGTACACAGACATGAAATTCTGTCTACTCCCGAAATGCTGAACTGAGTGCCTAGAGCTCTGTGGGCTTAGTGATGAACTAGTCCCAGCCCTGCCTCTAGGAGCCCACTGGACAAGGATGCTAACTGGCTGTCACTTCTGTAGGCAGGTGGGGGCAGCACTGGGTACAGTCTGAGCATAAAGTGGGTGGGAGTCTGGCAGGAAAGAACATGGACAGCAGGCTGCAGAGTAGGTCTGCCAGGCTGAGGGGACCTGAGCTGGAAGCTGACACAACCAGGAAACAGGATGTTAACTGGGCTGGAGAATGGAAGAAGGGGAGAGGCCTTTGGAGCCATGTGGGGACATTACTGGAGGTCTGGAGGCTAGGGGGAAGAGGGTCCAGTGGAAAGGCCCAGGCCTGGGGGTAGGGGTTAGGGAGAGCAGGCCTGGGGAAAATGCTGAGTCCAGGTAGAGGCCCAGTGAATTTAGACACAGATGGGGAGTCAGAAGACAAAGGGGAACACAGAAAATGACATAACTCGAAGGTCACAGTATCCTTATCCTTGTTCCCAGTTCTGAGTCTCTTGTCTCCTCTCCAGATATTTCCCTTTCGGGTATCCCCCATGTTTCCTCCTTCAGTCATCTTTATCTCAGCCCCAACTCTCTTGCCACCTGTGTGCCCTTCCTACTCCCCTCTCCACAGTGGGGCCTCCCTGAGGCTAAAGGTCTTTAGGCTGAGATACGAAATTTGGTGAATGAGTAACTAGGACCCCACAGTCAACTGGGTGCCCCAGGCAGCCTCCCTTCCCCCATTGACTCCCCAGAGACACCAAGTCATGAGACAAGATACAGGAGCAGAAAGGCCATGTGGGAAGTCTGAGCCACCACCCACCCACAAAAGGGACAATATGGCCACAGGCAGGATCTTAGGGAAACAGGAACTCAAAAGAGAGTAAAACCCAGAGACAAAGCACAGCCGGGAGCATCTTGCTGGAGCAGCCTAACTTGAGTCTTAGGCCTTCTAAGGGTCCCACCAAAAGGAGTCTGAGTGGTTCCAGTGCCCAGGGGGATGAGGTCAGCCAGCCACCCCACCCCCTCCCTCTCTGAGCCCCTTCCTGTGCTGAGCTCATCATGACTCAGCACAACTGCTGCCTTGGAGCTGGCTGGACTCTCATCAAGGACTCTAAATGCCAGCCTGGCCCCTGGCTGCAGATCCCCTTGGTCAGGGACCAACTGACCTGGGCACCCTGGAGAGGCTCCTGGGCAGCAGATCTTCACCTCTTGCCTGACACTCCAGTGGCTTCAGCTCCCCCACCCACACACACACCATTTATGTGAGCTGCTTCCTTTAGGGCCCTTAGAGGAAGGGTCTTGTTATTATCGAGTCTTCCTTCCTGCCATGATTGGGGTGCTCCTTGAGGGCAGGGTCCTGATTTGAGCCAGCTCTGTCTGATGTATTGAGCCAGACATCAACATGGACCTGGCCCACTTTAAAAATGCATGTTGACTGAAGACAGATATCCCCATTCCTATGTCCCCAGACTGTCATTGTTTCCCCCCCACCCAGGGCTTCATTTTTTGAGCTGGAAGGCAAGGAGAATTCCCAGAGTCTCTTTTTGGGACTGGGATGTTCTCTGAATCTCTGGAGTTGCCTCCTAAATCTAAACAGCCCCAAGAGAACTCTAAGCTCTAAATTCGTGATTTTCTTTCTTTCCTTTTTAAGAGACGGAGTATCAATTTTGTCACCCTCAGTAGAGTACTATGGCATCACAGCTCACAGCAACCTCCAGCTCTTGGGCTTAGGTGATTCTCTTGCCTCAGCCTCCCGAGTAGCTGGGACTACAGGTGCCTGCCACAATGCCTGGCTATTTTTTTGTTGCGGTTTGGCTGGGGCCTGGTTCAAACCCACCACGCTCAGTGTATGGAGCAAGTGCCCTACCTACTGAGCCACCAGTACCACCTTAGATTAGTGATTATCAACCAGTGTGTCATGAGAGGGTCTTAGAGGGCTGCAAACATTTTAAAAGATAATTATTTTTGAAAGAAGTTCAGGTTTGGCGCCTGTGGCTCAAGTGGCTAAGGCACCAGCCACATACACCTAAGGTGGCAGGTTCGAATCCAGCCAGGGCCTGCCAAACAACAATGATGGCTGCAACCAAAAAGTAGCTGGGCCTTGTGGCGGGCGCCTGTGGTCCCAGCTACTTGGGAGG